GAGAGGGAAGGAAGGGAGAAAGGGAAGATGAAAGGAAGGAATAAATAGGGAAGGAGGGAGGAACGAAGGACTAGAGAGGAAAGGAAGGGAGAAAGAGGGAAGATGTAAGGAAGGAATAAATGAGGAGGGAGGGAGGAAAGAAAGAAAAGGAGAAAGAAGGAATTGAAAACGGAAGGCATAGAGAGGGAAGGAAGGGAGAAATGAAAGAAGGGAGGAAGAAACGAAGGAAGGAATAGGGAAGGAATAGGGAGAAAGGGAGAGAGAAAGGAAGAAAGGAATAGAGAGAGAATGGAGAAAGGAAGAAAGATGGAAGGAGGGAGGAAAGAAGGAACTAAGGAAGGAAAGAAGAGGAAGGGAGGAAGGAATAAAGAGAAGATGGGAGGAAGGAAGGAATAGAGAGGGAAGGGAGGAAAGGGAAGAAAAGGAGAAAAAGGGAGGAAGGAAAGCAAAGAGAAAGTGAGGGTAGGAGAGAAGAATATTTCTCTCTCTCTCTCTCTCTCTCTCTCTCTCACACACACACACACACACACACACACACTGCCCAGCCACTGCTTCCCAACTGCCCTTCTCTCTCTCCCCCCCCCTCCCCGCACACCTGCAGGTTGGGCGATGGCCACCATGCTCTACCCCCGGGAGGAGAAGCTGGAGAAGATGAGCCAGGATGAGATCGTGCTGGGCACCAAGGCCGTGGTGCAAGGCCTGGAGACGCTGCGCAGCGAGCACCACTCCCTCCTGGCCGCTTTGCTGGACACCGTCAGCCGCCTGGAACCACCGCCACAACAGCTGCCGCACGAAAGCAGCGCTGCCCAAGAGAAGGCCCTGCTCCTGAGGAAGTCCCTGGAGGCCATCGAGCTGGGCCTCGGAGAAGCCCAGGTACCTCCCGCTTGCTATCTATCTATCTATCTATCTATCTATCTATCTATCCATCCATCCATCCATCTATCCATCTATATCTATCTATCTATCTATCTATCCATCCATCCATCCATCCATCCATCCATCTCTATCTATCTATCTATCTATCTATCTATCTATCTATCTATCTATCTATCTATCTCTAATCCCTTCTTTCCTGCTCTATCTATCTATTTCTATCTTTCCCTCCTTCCTTCTGTATCTATAAACTTAGAGTAACTTTATTGTCACTTTAAATGTACCCTAATCGGCATACATTAAAATGAAATTTCATTGCATAACAGCTCTCAAAGGGTCACCACCTCCAACATAATATACACTACATACACTGTTTATTTATTTATCTTATTCCTTCTTTCATGATCCATCCATCCATCCATCCATATCTATCTATCTATCTATCTATCTATCTATCTATCTATCTATCTATCTATCTATCCTCTCATCTATCCTGTCTTGTCTATCTATCAATTTCTATCTGTTCCTTCCTTCCTTTCCTTCCTTCCTTTCCTGCCTTCCTATCTATCTGAATTTCTATCTGTTCCTTCCTTCCTTCCTTCCTTCCTTCTTTCCTTCCTTCCTTCTTTCCTTCCTTCTGTATCTATCGGCTTAGACTAACTTTATTGAAGTTGTAGCAACGTTTCGGCAGAATCTCATCTGCCATCATCAGGCTTCTGTATTCTGTATATATATATTTATTTATATACATATATTTATTTATATATTTTTTTATTTATATATATATATACTTATATATATATATATAAACTTTATATATATAAACTTTGCAAGCAGAATCCTGGCCAGAGTCTCCTTCAAACAAGATCGATGAATCGGGTTGGTTTCTTTTGTTTGTTGTCGTTGTCGTTCCTGGCGCCAGGTGATCATCGCCCTCTCCAGCCACCTGAGCGCCGTGGAATCGGAGAAGCAGAAGCTCAGAGCTCAGGTGCGGCGCCTGGTGCAGGAAAACCAGTGGCTGCGGGACGAGTTGGCCGCCACCCAGCACAAGCTGCAGCGGAGCGAGCAGTCGGTGGCGCAGCTGGAAGAGGACAAGAAACACCTGGAATTCATGAACCAGATTAAAAAGTTCGACGAGGACGTCTCCCCTTCGGTAGGTGGTTTCTCTCCCACCCTTTTTTTTTTGTTTTAACCTACCTGTTCAGAGCAGGTGGCCTCCTCTGGCTCTGCCAGGTAAGCCTTGAACCCAGGCCAAGAGGGGGAAAAAAGCCTTGAGATGCTCCTGTATCAACTCTTAGTCCTTCCCGTATCAACTCTTAGTCCTTCTGATGAAAAGAAGGATTAGGGGCGACACCATAGCGGTGTTTAAATATTTGAGGGGCCGCCCCAAAGAAAAGTGGGGTTCAGCTTATTCTCCAAAGCCCCTGAGGGCAGGACGAGAAGCAACAGATGGAAATTAATCAAGGAGAGAAGCAACCTGGAACTAAGGAGGAATTTATTGAAATTTAGAACAATTAACCAGTGGAACTGCTTGCCACCAGAAGTTCCAACACCGGAGGTTTCTTCCAAAGAGACCGGACGGCCGTTTGTCTGAAAGGGTCTAGTTATCTCCTGCTTGGACAAGGGGGTTGGACTAGAAGACCTCTAAGGCCCCTTCCATCTCTATTATACTGAGATGGGAATAAGGAGGTCCGTCTTTTTCCTACTCCCTTGAAAGTGAATGCCAGTTTTTTTAAAAAAATTTCCTTTTTTTTTTTTGCCCAGGATGAGAAAAACGGCGAGGCAGCAAAAGATACCTTGGACGATCTATTTCCTAACGAGGATGACCAGGGTCCAGGTAAGCTTCAGAAGGCTCTGAATTCATGGTTAAGCATAGCAGCTGTGAAGCGAGACCGGAAGGATGATTAAGGGGCTGGAGGCTAAAACATAAAAAGCAGAAATTAGGCACGTCTGATTTCATGATCGGAAGGACCAGGGGTGACCAGGATAGCCATATTTCATGCCTTAAAAGAAGAAGCAGTCAAGCTATTCTCCAAAGCCCCCACCGAAGGCCGGACAAGAAGCAACAGATAGAAACTCATCCAGGACAGAAGCAACTTGGAGTTAAGGAGAAACGTCCTGAAAGTTCAAACCATTAACCAGTGGAACTACTTGCCTCCAGAAATTGCGCGTGCTCCAACACGGGAGGTTTTTAAGAAGAGACCGGACAACCATTTTCCCAGAATGGTAGAAGGTCTCCTGATTAAACAGGGGGATGGACTAGAAGACCTCCAAGGTCCCTTCCAATTCTGTTATTCTATTGTTTGGTGCTTTTTTCTTAAATTAAGATTTTATTGGTTTTTAAAAACAAACATAAACAAACAAAACCATAAAAACATCAAGCTGTCTTCCATAGGTGTACATTACAGCGTGCCGGTTGGTTTACAAATTGTTTTGTGCTTCCATTTCGTAGTCTTCAATTACAGTTACATTACATATAATCTCAGATTGTCAATCAAAAGCTAAATACCTTAGTATCGGTATTAATCATTTGACTATACTTTTATTCATTCATGTTTTACAAGATAACCATAATTTACTTAGTTTATTGTATAACAGTTCATATTATCATCCCAAATCTATCCTAAAATCATTTTGTAGTTATAATTTTTAAAAAAGTACATCTTTATATATTTATTATTTTCTAAAAATCTACATATTTCATTACTGTACTTTGTTATCTAACCATTGATAGAAAAGATCCCAAATTTTGTAAAATGGTTTATCCTCTTGTTCTCTAATTTCAAATGTCAACCTACTCATTTCAGCACATTCCAATATTTTCTTAATCATTTCCTCCTGTGATGGTGTCTTCTCATTTTTCTAGTTTTTAGCAAATACAATCCTAGCCTCTATTGTTTTGTGCTTTTATAAGTCGAGGGCCACCTGTTATTTCTTCGGGAAATACACTTGTGGGCTCCTTCCGGCTGGTGAATCCGCGATCTCTGTCCTCTTGCAGGGCCAACCCACCACAGCGGAGAGTCGGCAGCCCAGCAGGGCGGCTACGAGATCCCGGCCCGTCTACGGACCTTGCACAATCTGGTGATCCAGTACGCTTCGCAGGGGCGCTACGAAGTGGCCGTCCCGCTCTGCAAGCAAGCTTTGGAGGACCTTGAGAAAACCTCGGGCCACGATCACCCCGATGTGGCGACAATGCTGAATATTCTCGCACTGGTGTACAGGTGTGGAAGTCTGTGTGTGTGTGTGTGTGTGTGAACTCATAAAATATTTCTCTGGCCTTTTGAGACTTGTCAACAGAAAGGGAGGGAGGAGCAGTGCAGCAGCTTGCAAACCGAAAGCGCATTCCATAAATAGTTTTTCAAAGATAGTAACTAGGCGACTGAAGTTTCTGCCTTGCAAATATCTAACTGGAGAGCATGATTGATGACTCTGGGCTATGGAGGTGTCCCATTGGAGAATAGGAATTATGATACACCCAGGGTGTGGGGGGGAAAACCAGGGTCAAGGGTGACAATGAATGATGTGCCTCAGAGTCGTCTGCACCCAGGCAGTGCCGGCAAGCTGACTCTCAATAAATCCTTTTGGAAGTTTGGCTCGAGACTTGGTCTCCAAAGACAGTTAACATTTGGTGGACTTCAGCTCCCAGAATTCCCCAGCCAGCACCCGCTTCCTTCCTTCAGGTCATGAACCAAAGACACTAATCTGTGTTTTCCTTCCCACCAGAGACCAAAATAAATACAAGGAAGCCGCCCACCTTCTCAATGATGCTTTGGCTATCCGGGAAAAGACCCTGGGAAAAGATCACCCAGCTGTGAGTGCGAGCTGGGACCCTTCCTGTCAGCTCTGGTTGAAGGATTGAAAGACTGTGTAGTCTTCCATTTATTTATTTTAGTTTAATTCCATTCCTCTCCTTCCCTTCTCTTCCCCTTCTTTCTTTCTTTCCTTCTTTCTTTCCTTTCTTTCTATTCTTTCTTTCCTTTCTTTCCTCCCTTCCATTTCTCTCCCCTTCATTATTCTCTCCTTCCTTCCTTCCATTTCTCTCCATTATCCTCTCCTTCCTTCCATTTCTCTTCCCTTCATTATCCTCTCCTTCCTCTCTC